GGCAAGGGTGCAGAGCTTGGGGGGGAAGTGGTACACTCTCATTGTCAAGAATGATTACACAAGGTGGAACCGTGTATATTTCCTGAAGCACAGATCAGACGCCGCTGAGGCATTCGAGAGGTACCTTGCAGAAAACCGGACAGACGGTGCCCCGTCCGCTGTCATGGCCGTGAGATCCGACAACGGAGGAGAGCTTTTTTAGGGAGATTTCGGCAAGGTGTGCCAGAAGTACTGCATCAAACAGGAGTTCACCCCCGCACACAGCCCTAAATACAACGGTGTAGCTGAGAGAGCACTGGGTCTGATCAAAGATGCAGCACTAGCCGCTCGTATCCAAGCGCCAACTCTTTACCCCGGAGCACCGAACTACCCCTCCCTTTGAGCCGAGGCCATAGCTTGGTCATGCAACGCCCTGAACTGCACCTCCACCACATCCAACCCAGAGAAGAAGTCGCCGTACGAGATGTGGCACGGGCACCCTCCCCCGCCGGGGGCGACGTACCCGTTCCTCAAACCTGCCGTAAACAAGGTCAAGCGCACACACAAGTCCGAGCCGAAAATCCAAAAGTGTTTTTACCTCGGCCCGGGAATCAACACCAACCGTGATTGCGTGCGCATCTTGAACGAAAAACGTCAAGCCATCACAACTCGCAACTTCACCTGGCAATCGGTACCCGCCGCCCCCGCCGCCCCCGCCGCCCTGCCCCAGTCGCTGCCTCCCATCGCAGAGGAGGAAGAGAAATTCGCGACTGAGGAGGATGAGGTTAGGGGGGGCGACGAGGTGGAGGGAGGGCGGAGGGAGAACCTGTGGATGGAGGACCAGGTTTCAACCTTGGCACGACGGCAGCCCCAGGGCCCGCGGGGCCGCCCGCGCGCGCAGCGCCGGCGGCACCGCCGGCCGCGCCCCAGGAGTCGGGCGCGGGCGACGCTGGCGATGGCGCCCCCTCGAGCAGGGAGAGCGCGAGCGTCGCCCCATGTACCACGTCGACCGGCACGGCCGATGTGGGCGGCGACGAGGACGACCGCCACAGCAGCGGTTGCGGCGGCAGCGGCAGCGACAGCAGCAGCCGTGGTAGCTCCGGCAGAGGCAGCGACAGCAGCAGCGGCGGCAGCAGCGGCGATGACGGCGGCAGCGACAGCAGCAGTGGCAGCGACAGCGAGACGGATCTCCCGGCGCTCTGTGGGCCAGAGGCCCGGCGGCTCGCCCGCTTCGACAAGCCGGCGGAACTCACCAGCCGCCGCACTAGGGAGAACCCTCGCCGAAATCCGAGGTACGAGTCGCCCCCGTCGCCGCCCACATCGGCCCCGTCGCCGACAAGTGCCGAAGCCCTGCTCGCCTCGGTGGCGAGCCTGCCCGACAGCAGCACGGAGGAGTTCACCCGCTGGATGCTCTCGGCAGTACTTCACGTGGCGGAGGGGCTAGAGGCGAGGGTGGTGCGAGAGTTGCTGTCCGAGCGCGCGCAGGAGGCCCACGCTGCGCGCCAAGAGGCGGAGGATTTCCTGCTGGGTACGGTGGACCTCATGCTCAACTCGCCAGACGCCTTCGAGACGGCTGTGGCGTCCCACGAGCTAAGTGAATCCCACATTGGCAAGCGTCCGAGTGATGTAGAACCCCNTTTTCATTCGTAGACGGCGCGCCAGAGGGGCGCAGGCCTGTGAGCTCCAAGTGGTATTTTAGTT